AAAAAAAAAGCCTTAACTCGTCGAGTACCGTCATTATAGACACAATTATAGAACAATAGGTTGCGGTCACCGGTGACCGCTTGGTGTTTGACAGTTTAAACAAATTGCAGCGCAGAATGTGGTGTCGTCCAACAAAGTACCTAAGTTGGACGAAGGCAAAGCAAAAAGCCATAACCCCGACTCCCACTCACCCACAGCCAAAAGGCGAGCTCGCTCTGCAGTTGAACAAGCGGAGTTCAACAGATTTTCACTCACTTTTTTGCAGATCAGTCTCCCCATTGTCGTCCCATTGTCTCTGGGTGAGTGATTTGAAGGGGGGGGGGGGGTCAATATTTGGGCAAGCGATTTTCCAAGCTTTCGCCGCTTCCACTAAACATGGTACATCAAAATTAACCAGTGATTGAGAAAGAATTTTCCTGGTTAATTCTTCAGTACCATGGGCGGAAGATTTGAAAGCCGGTAGGCTTACACTGGAAATTTTACGGACGCCAAGCCCACCCATGCGGACAGGCAGAGTAGCTTGTGTTCAGGCTCGGTCGTCGAGAGCCACATTCAAAATTAAGAACAAAGTTGTTCTAATGCTTGTAAACATGTAAATAATTAATTTTGAACTTAACACTCAATTAGTCATTATTGTATTATTAAGTATGTACATATAATTGACGTAAATTTGAATGTAATCAAATGACGTTAAAATATTAAGATATTCATAATTTACATACAAATTATTTAAGAACGGGTATTATTTAAACGCATATCAAAAAATATCCTTTTTCATTGCAATAAGATTCCGAATTTCCATCAAAATTACTGATTGCACAGCAAAATATTTAACTCAAAATATCACTCACACACTACAATTTATTTTCGCAGCGTACAACGATTTTGCCTAAAGCAAAAGTTTTTTCATAAATGCACAGCTAATAATCTTAACTCGTCGAGGACCGTCATTATAGACACAATTAAACTGTCAAACACCAAGCGGTCACCGGTGACCGCAACCTATTGTTCTATAATTGTGTCTACAAAACCGGTACTCGACGAGTTAAAGAACAATAGGTTGCGGTCACCGGTGACCGCATGTTGTTTGACAGTTTAATGCACATTATAGAGGTTAACTCTTTTTCTTTTAAATATAGCTTCTATTTTAATACTTATGGTTTTGATAATTTCCACCCCCAAGGGGGTAAAAAAGGGGATGAAAGTTTGTATGAAACTTTGTCAGTTTTACACTGATCGGGTTGAATTTTGATATGCAGGTAGATGTTATGATGTAGACATTTGCTATGTAAAGATTTTGATCATTTCCACCCCCCAATGGTATAAAATAGGGGATGAAATTTTGTACGAAACTTTGTCAGTTTTGCAACGACCAGGTTGGAATTCTGCATGCAGGTAAATTTATTGATGTAGGCAGAATCTAAAATTATTGATTCTGTTTGAGTTAGATTCGGTAAAACGATAATTTGAGACCTGAGAAACGATGTATGATAGTTTTTATCACAGGAGTCCCACGTGAATGGGAACTATGCGTTAAAGCCGGACTCTCTATCTCTTAACCACTGATCTTATTTTAGAGAGGTTCAGTACAACAATAGAATGCATTTTATTACTAAAACCTTACGGGAACAGGCACTGTACTGATAAAATCCCTGCGGAATTATTTATTTTTTTAATCATATCGTAGGAAAGTCAAAATTGTACCTACATTGAATTTATTTTTTAAAAAGGATACTTGGGGGTGATCTACAGTCGATACTGAAGCCAAAATATGACTTTAGAATTTTTACCTGTTTGTCTGTATGTATGTACTTATATCGTACATACAGACCAGACAGTCCGGGATGATCTCAAAAATAACTGCATGGATCTACTTCAAATTTTGTATGATTATTACTGACAGATCGGGTCAACAGCTTAATATTAGGTATCTATTAAGGTTCTAATGAATAATTTTCTATACAACTTATGGCGCCGACTTCTAACCTATCAATTGGAGGGTAACCTATCAGTACTAATAATAGTTTTTGATTTTTTGAAGTCGGGTTTTTTAAACGTAGTTTTTATTTTATAATGTTTAGTGTAAAGCTCCACAGACCCGTCTATCAATAAAAGTTAATCAAGCAACACAAGATAGTTACTATAAACCATTGAGGAGTTCCCTCGACTGTTTGTCGGCTCCAGCATTAGGTCGACTCTAGAACCTTATCAAATTTGTATGTTCAAATTTTTTTATTGAGTAACATAATAAACGTATTAGGTAGACGCCCCTTCAATTTTCGAAAGTTTCGATTCTATCATCAGATCCTAACCTGGTGAAAATCAAACAAAACAAAATAGTTCATAAATGGCGGAGTAATTGGTGAACAAACAAAAAAAAATATTATCTGAATATAATGCCTCCTCCCTTTTTTTGAAACGGGTAAAAATTCGGTACAACGATAGTTTGACACCTAGGAAAGTCTGATAGTCTGTATTCCGAATATCACACGGAAACGGGGATATGCGTTAAAATTCCGGCACTCTGTATCTTTTAAATCACTGAATCCATTTGATTGAAATCCATTTGATAGAATAGTTTTAATCACTGAAACCTCACGAGGCGAGTTCTGTACGAGTTGAAACCATTGTTTATTTTTTGAAACCACGAATATAAATTCATTTCACAATAAGTATAACCTAAGTACTGAATGAAGTCTGACGACATTTTTTTTGTTGAATGTCCCTTGGTAAAGTCTAATTCAAAGGCCTAAATTCTGCCAGAAGTCATTCTGCGTGGACGAAGTCGCGGGCAACAGCTAGTGATCTCATAAAATTATTGTAATGAGTATGGTTTAAGGTTTCAATTATAATTGTTTATATATATTTTAAAGGTATTTTTTATTTAAAGGTGTAGAAATAGAGTATCAAAATTTTAGTTCTTTAAGATTTCATCTCGTAGTGTTTATTATAGGTAGGTAGTTCATTGTTACTGAAAAATTAATCACATTATTAATTATATGTATGTTATCCATGTTTTACAAACAGAATCAATAATACTTATTGTATTTGGCTATTTGGTTAGTAATGTTCAATCCACGAAAAATAACACCCTGTGTGAGTATTTTGACTCAAGACTGGCACAGAGTGAATACAAAGTCATTTGAAGTAATATGGTTTCATATGGTAGGTGAAAACTAAGTACCTAATGTTTAGTTAGCCATACCATTTAACCTAATATAAATTGTTAAAATATCGATATTACAGCAGTTGATGCTTGAAGTGTAAATTTGCCTAAATCCATGCTAGCTGAAACTTCATTTACATTGATACTTCTAAGCGGTTGCACTTGAACTGAAAAAATAGATAATGGTACATCAGTATATTCCCCGATTTAGAATTTCAGTTACAAGTAAGATTTTCTGAATCGAATAATTAAAAATGAAATAAACAACACAAAACAATTTTAAGGAAAAGGGACGTTGTGAAGCAAATGTTATGATTTTGGCGTAGTCTCATTCCAGAATCAAGAAAAGAATGACTAAAATGAAACTTATTATCTACAGGAAGAAAGAAAAAGGAAAAGATTATGTTATTTCTTACCAATGGAGACATTACAGATATTTGACAGTAAACGGATATTATAGGAAATTGCTATGACATACCGACAAGGGGGCTATCAGCAAACATGCACACTGTCTTATAGTCTGACAGATCATAAGCGAAAGTGCCATTAGCTATAAAATTAGTTGGTTCCTCATCTTTCGAGCCAATAGACCTGATGATGGCGTGCGATTTTTTCCACGCTTCAATAACATCAGACAGAATTAGATTTTTTTGACTTGTCGCCATATTTGGATATTCTACGGTTCTATGTAGAGGTATGATATTAAATTTCAATCAAATCAGTACTTCAGTTTTCCTTTATCGTGAGATTGTAAAAAATTACCTACGTAGTTCAAAATGCATAAAATTATAGTTCTATGTTTTATGCACTCGTTTCCGTAGGATTTTCATTATCTATAAAAAGTTGTGATATATATCACCCTTATCTGCGTCGAGATTTATCTGACACGCAGTGTAGTCGGTTTTACTCGCACAGTTCCTGCTTCTGTGAGGTTTTCGGAATAAGAATTATTCTATGTCCTTTGTCGAGTTTCAAACTATCAATGTACATATGTAATTTCAGTGAAATAGGTTCAGTAATTTAAAAGACCTGGGATTTTAAAATGTAGTTCCCGTTCCTATGGGATTTCCAGAATAAAACCTTACTATTATTTCCTTTTGGGATTCAATCTACCATTGCACGGAATTTCAGTTAAATGGGCTTAGTACTTAGTTTTAAAGGTATTTCCCGGGATTTGAACGTATAGTTCCCGGTCCCGTGGGATTTCAGGGATAAAACTCATCGAGGTCTTTGCTCAGGTGTCAAACTACTAATGTATAGAATTTAAGTCAAATAGGTTCAGTGGATTTTAGGACACAGAGACCCTGGGATTTAGACGTAGGTTTTCCGTTTCCGTGGTAGTTTCGAAAGAAGACGGTCCTACATGTTCTATACTTATTCTTTAAAGGACTTGCTATATTGTACTCGACCTGTAGTTGTAGGTATATAATTTTATACAAATAGTTTTAAAAAATATGACACCCGGAATTTTAATGCAGATCTCCTATTATTGTGGGTTTCCGGGATAAAAATAGCCTATATCCTTTCTCAAATCCTAAACTATATCTGTAGCAAATTCTATCCAAATAAGTTTTGTGACTTCGGTAACTCTGATTTTTTTTTGTAAGTAGTAGTCAGTATGGACAATCAGTTACTATTTTTCAACCTCTTTGAACTATAATAAAATCATTATAAAATAATATTCATTTATTACATTAAAATCAAACTGCAGTTTACAAAACAATTTTACAATAGTAGTTAACATTTAATCAAGGATACAAAAACATCGCAAATATAGTAGGTCTTGCATATTAAATAGATTTATACAATCTTCAATATGTCAAAGTAAAGATTCATGAGGCATTTTCATTATTCACAAACATAATTCTATTTTTTGATTCACCAAACACAAGTACAACGAATTAGAAATTATTATAGTAGGGCGGATTATTTGGTTTGACTTTTATATGACCCATCATTGCAGAAACATTACAAACACAACGGAGGTAATACTCTTTGCGACACTAAGAATTTTCGAAAATACGAAAAAACCCTAATAATATTTTTACCTCTTGCTCATCAATCGTACTTGCAAAAGCTCAATTGAGGTGTGATGTCGAATTACTATAATTACATTAATGTCAAAAGGACTAAAACTACATTAAAAATGTTGTAAGCATGTGATCATGATCAGTTCCTTCCCTGAACAGTAACAAGAAGCAATATCAAACTGATATCGAATATTGCCTTAACCCCTTACATCTTAAAACTTAACATTATAAATATACTCAACAAATTAAAATCTAAGACAAATCTATTAACAAAATAACCTCTGTATAAACCACTGTTGATTTGTTTTTCCCTAATATTCCGAGGCCGGCTTGCGAGCGTGTACGACTAGCAACCGATATTTATAGTTAAAACTTTCCTCATCGGTATTATACTTGGGCACAATATTCAAATCTTTTAAAATATTGAAGTAATCTTGCTTAAAATCTTCTTCCATATCCTTCGGAATGTTGAATGGGGTGACTGCTTGAAGGATTTCTGCAAATCAAACAACAAAGGAACGTTATAATTAGAAGTTTGTGAGGAACTAAATTTGGACGGCGCGGCAATGAATTGATGCCGTAGAGACTGTAGTGTAGGTAATATATAATAATATATGTATATCACATCGGTCGAAGTAAACTAAATTCTTGTTGTACAGAGAACCCATAAAAGAGTGTAATTTATATTGGGGCGTAGTTTGTTTTCAATGGTGGTTAATCTGGATACACTTTTTAATTGAAGGGATTCGTTTTGTTGTTCCCAATATTGACTTATTTTTGTTTTTGTACGACAATAATTTCAATAATCAGATTCTTTCAAACTATTGAAGATTACTTCAAATCATTATTTAGTAAATAATGTTAATAATATAAAACCAAACTTGAACAAATAGAATCAATACTAACTCCAGAAACTGCCGAAGTTGTTGTACGTATACGACAAATTTTTGCATTCCACCTTGTAGTCCACGTATCCAACTTTTTCCAATATTTTTCTCATTTCTTGCGCTGGATCCTGAAAATAGAAATATAGTTTATGGTTTAATTAATAGGTAAAGGCAAATCATCAATTTTTGATAAACTTTACTCTCGAATAAAACACTGGATTTAAAGGAACAAGTAAACATGTTATTTAAAACGTCAATAAGCCTGATGATATTCATGAATCAGACTATTAAGTACGTGACAAAGTATCGTCCGTTTTAAAAACAAACGTAACTATTTTGTACGTTTTCATAATTACTTAATTTACCATAATAGATGGATGAAAAGGCTTCTATCTACCACGAGGGTATACATTTTTAGCCCGTATCATATTTATAGTCATACAAGGTTGCCAGTTAAGAGTGCTCTGCATTTGTTCTTGAATAGATACTAACTAAAAAAATATTATAGTTGTACTATATTGTGTTGTATTATATTATAGTGTAGTACCTGTGAGTCTTGGTATGGCGATATATATTTCTCGGCGTCTTTGAGCAGAGTGCTCCATTTGTTGTTACGCGATTGGATGCGATACAAGTCGAACACGGGTGCGTTTGCGATGAATATCGTGAAGCATTCTCCATCTTTACTCAGCAAATCGTAAATATTTCTGAATACGCGCCTGAAAAAATAAATATGTAATGTTAAGCACATGAATAACTTCTGAGATTTGATTGGCAATTCAATATTGAGGCTGATGGGGGGAACCATGCGGTTCTGGCAATAAATGATACTGTTATTAAAGGCGAGAGAGTTCAAAATGTTAGGGATGGCCCCTATTATTGTGAGCTTTTTGTGGAAAATATGAAAGTGTTATTTAAAAACGATACGGGCAGCAAGATATCGGCGAAATCTAAGTTTTTTATGATCAACATCTTTCTACCTTACCAATTGAAAATGATAACATTAAGTTAAAGTCGTATACTGGCGACGCAATAGGTTTGTCGTACGTCCGGTCGAGTATCTGTGCGAGGCAGCTGTGCGGGAGCAAAGCATTAACATTGTTTATTATCGAGCACGGCAGACCTCCGCTTATCAGACGCACCTGGATGCGCAGACTTATATTAAAATCATTAAATTTATTTAATCTTAAAGAAGAATATGATCCCGTTGTGATTGAATTAAAACAAGAATTCCCTTCTGAGAATTCACAACACTTTTGTCTTTACTGATAGAATTGGTACTTATAAACATAAATTGACACTATATTTAACTATATTTTGCAAGTCACGCCCCCTCCCACTTGCATTGCACGAGGCGGTGGAAAATGAACTTAAACGCTTATAAGACGAAAGTAGAATTTACAAGGTTGATAGATCTGATAACGGAACTCCAATTGTGCCAATTATCAAACCGATGGTTCTATTCACGTTCTATTCGTTTATGTGGCGATTCTACCTCTATAGTGACGTTTAATAAGTTAAACTGTCAAATAAAATCTACAAATAGATTATGAGTACACACCCGTGATCTGTTTTGAGATTACTCGAGAAAAAATATCAGGTCAATGGAAGGACAGGTCTCGGACCGTACTAGAGCTGTAACATATACGGTAACTACGAACAACGGGGAATATCAAAAACACATAGATCAAATTATGCCTTTACGAAAACTTACACGGTCCTCTAATCCTGTTATCACAGATGCCAATAAACCTACCGTTAACCGATATGAGTCAGCACCGAATTCACCAAAGACTTCGCCATTTGAAACCTCACATGAATCGCCCGTTGTACATGAGACCATTTCCGGGGATAGGGTCAATAATAAACCGAGAAAATTAAATATGCGTAACAAAAAAAACAATCCTTGGTTGACTATAATCCTGTCTGGTAAAGGCCTTGTTTGTAGTAATTTATATTTTGCAATAGTTGTAGTTTTTTATTCCTTCTAATCTTTCATATTATTAGCTATAAATATGAATAACATTGTTTTTTGTTTGTATAGTGGTTAGTACTAAAAAAATTACAATAGATCATTTATCTTATCGATTATATGATTGTAGTAAGAATTATTGTATTATTAAATTCAGTATATTGTATTCTAGCTGTTCCCGCGACTTCGTCCGCGTGTAATAATGACTTCTGTCAAATTTTGGATTTTTTAAATTAGTCTTTTCCAAGGTTAATTCCAATATTCCAATGGTATGGAACAAATCTCATTAGCATCGATTCAGTTATATTTATTGTGAAATTTTGTTCATTTTGGTGATTTCAAAAAATAAACACTGACACTATACGGAAAAAATACCTGTGGGCACACACAGGTATTTTTTCCGTATAGTGTCCATTCCTGTGTGGTTTCAGTGATTCGAATTTCAATCAAATAGTACAGTGGTTGAAAACTCTCAGCCGTCATTGTTCGAGTCTCAAACTATTGTCGCCTTGTTGTAGGTACCGAATTCCACTCAAAAAAGTTCAATGTTTTAAAAATTTGGGAGACTAAAAACTCTCGTTGAACCGAATTTCAATCAAATCTGACGTCGATGCGGACGAATTTTTCGATGCTTTATGTAAATAGTTGTTTTTGTTTTTCTTTTAGATAATTTTAATCTTAAGTTATATAATATATTTTATTATTAATTTAGTAATCGTTAATTTTAATATTATTTCAGTTTTTATTGGAAATTTAATAAAGTTTATTAGAATTGGTTATAATATTGGTGTCCAGCCTTTTTGCATACCCTAATGTTATACCATGACAATAAAAAATTGGCCATTGGCATGAAACTTACTTGTTAAAAATATGTCAGATAACATAGAAATGTGCACTTAATATTATAACGTGTCTGTTTGTTTTGTTAGAAATTCGTGATTTTTTTATTGGGTGGAGATAGTTGAAAGGATTGAAAGTAGCATAGGCGACATTTTATTTCTTTTTAGTGGAAGTGTGTACCGAGAATTTTGTGATTTTCAAGTAACCTAATATTGGTATTAATACTTTAAAAGAACGCAAGCGAAACCGTGGGTAGAAGCTAGTCCATGAATAAAATGTACCCGATGCAGCTAAATACTATTATTAGTCCTTGAAAACAGTCTTCTATTGGCAGTCAAAGCCTTAAGCTTTGATTATATAATGTCTAGATTGAGCGTCAACACACAATGGTAACAAAAATGACGTTCCAAAATTTCTTGTATGTGTGCGTGCCGGCTTGTGGTTTACACGGAGCAAAAATTATACCAGCTAGGATGTCGCGGAGAACCTAACGGGTAACCGGGGCTCCAACTCGACGAGCAGGAGAAGGAACGGGGTGGTTTTTAGTCAGTAAGAGTCTGACACTCCCTCCCGCCTCACCCAAGTGGGAGCAGTCATTCGATGATTTCCCCCCCTTAAAAAAAAATCCAGCTAGGATAAAAATTCTCCCATCTAATTTATATTATCTTCCATACATGTTTGGGTACATATACCAGACCATTTAGAAGTAAAATAAAAAAAAACTTGTAAACATCTCTTTGAATTTGATTTTAAAGTTTTTTTATTTAACACGTTGTTGAAACCTATTTATATTTTGTCACAGAAGGAATTTATTTTCCGTATGAAAATAATCATTAAATATTCATATTAAGGCATTTTTTTTTCATTATTTGTATTATAAAACCAATTTATAAAATACTTTTGCAGTTGCAATCTTTTCATCAAAATTAATATGACTTCGATCGATTCGAACTTAAAAAGAAGGATCGAAAAAAACCCTTTTTAAGTCGGTTAGAATAAAGAGTACATCAAAGCGTACCTAAATAATAAAAATATTATTTTATTTATAATTTACAAAAAAAATTTTTTTGTCTATTTTTCTCTCTTTATGAGATCTTAATTTAGACCCGTGAGAAGGGAATATTGAAAAATAAATTGGCAACACTGATAAAATATGGCGGCAATTAGTTAAGTCAAAAACATAAATTGATTTGTAATTTTTAATTATTTAGCGCCAATAAGTGATCTGTTTTTTAACCGTCATTAATTATAATTTTAGCACAATTTCATGGAGCAAGTGGCCATTTTTGCAGTCTACATTTTCGTTTACAAATTTATTTTGTAGATTGCATACACGTAGTGACGCCTAAGTGACACAATTGGTACTACTTGACGGGAAAATGTATTGCAGTGCCTTTCGTGAACTGACATCATCTGACTGATGACACCATCTAGCTAGACATTATATAATCAAAGGGCTTAAGCAATATAAGGAATTCTTTGGTAGTATTTTCACACATTATCAAAATTTGCACACGGTACCCTTAACTGTCAAACACCGCGAGGACACCGGTGTCCTATTGTTCTTTAATTGTGTCTATAATGACGGTACTCAAAGGGTTAAACATAAAATGTTCACATAAATAATTATGTGAACATTTATACGTATAAACTTATCATGAATTCTAATTTCTTATAGTTAATTAATATTTTTTTAAACATAAGATTTAAATTGTTACAAAAACTTGTCTATGGTATATGTTTTCTTTATGGTTGTGGGTAGCAACACTGAAAGAAATGGCGCGAATTTATGACAGCGGTTGAGCGTCGAAAGAATATGTTTATTGGTGTTTCTTGTCAAAAATTGTAAAATAAAGATAAAGTGCAGTTGTGAATTAAAATCTGTGTTTAGTTTTTATTAATTCAGAAGTGGGTTGGACAGATTCACGTGCTGGACTAAATTCACCGCTTCGAACTTGTAAGTTGAGACATTGTAACCGCATTGTTCGAAGTTCTATTGTGCATGATTATTATGGTATGAAGTAGCCTGTGCCGTGTTAATCATGCCGGAGATTCGTTTTTTAGTTACAAGAGTACCTATATAATATTGTGATTTAGCGAAGGAGAAGTATTTGTTCTTCATACAGTGGAATACCGTGGCATTGGGTATCGGACCCTTGAGAAGGAAGACTATTTTGCCTCCTATTTAAATATTTCAACGAAAAAAAAAACTGAATAACAGTCATGAAATATTAATACTTATACTAAAATGGTTATTGGTACATATTATTACTGAAGTCAAAAAATGTTGTGTAACAAAAACTGACTATGTTTGTGCAACGTTAGTTATATCTTAGGAGAACTGAGTAATATTCTTCGTGATGCTGAAATTGGCTATTGGATAATTGGATATATATTATAGGTATACTAAACTTTAACATTTTGTTTTCTGTGGGCTCTAAGATGGAGTTTGAGTGAAGTAACTACCTCTATATTGCACCAAAACAATATTGTGCAATAACATACTTATAATTAGTACGATACTTGGAGTAGTGGAGTTTACCTACGTATCATTCTATAATTTTGATAATTTCGTGTTAAGACTCTGTATGCGCTCACATTACTTATTTCTCTAAATTATTAGTTCACTAAGTTACGACATTGTTCAGTATTAAGCAAACCTTTGTGTTGATTTACTCCACTAACTTACGCTTAAAGCATAATTCTTAAGTCGCATAGGACCCATTACTATTTTGTCCGCATGTTAATCATATTTAAGTCATCTTATATTCCTCCCGCCGTAGACGTGCCGGCCGCCAACGCCGCGAGGTGGCAGCCGACCTCCATAGAAGAGGCCTGCGGGCGACTGACTAGGGGAGTCAGTCGTTCGCTGTATGGGCGGGAGTAGGCGTTAGTGTTGTATTCCACGCCCGCCACTCGAGGAAAGACAGCCTGTAAGGGCTGCTTCGTGGTGGGATCTGCTGCAATATAATGGTAGGTCGAGGCGTGCCGGGTGCGATGATTACGCAAGGGCGTCCCGGATAATGGCCACATGCAAAGGAGGAACACGACAGTGGTTTTAGCCGGTAAAAGTCCGGTACACCTCCCTATTGTCCCCACGGTGTGGGAAGTCAATAAGGATTTCCATAGCGTTATAAAAAAATCCTATCAAGTCTCGTGGCACTACACAAATGTCGGTCTATTTACGCTGCATAAAGGAAAATACGAAGTTTTATTATGATCGAACTACTGCAGCCTAGTGAATACTTCATAAATTTATTCATTGCAAGTCATAAAAGGTATGGACAGAATTCCCACTATGCTAAGTTGAAATATACTTGCTAGCAATTATGTTTAATTATAATATTTATATGCATTATATTAGTTATTGTCATGTCATGTAAACCATTTTTATACGTGTTTTTATTTATTAAACAAAAGAAGGAAGTGTTTTACCTATTGCAGATTTTTCAATCAACAGATAATTCTTATTTGTAAAGTAAAATTGACATTCGAGAGTTCTTAGTAGTGAAGAAGTTTGTCAAATATTTAAAATTATTACTCCGACATAATTTATGTGGCGTTAAAAAATCAGTCCTAACATTATCATGTAAAAACGCGTTAACAGGGTAAGCAACATAAAATAAATTGTCGAAATACCTACATTAAAGATATTTTAGAGAAAATAATTAAGCAATATTGACTTACTCTTGATCAAAGACCCAGTGCAAGGCGTAGAAAGAAAAAACATGGTCGAATTTTCCCTTCATGTCTTCGGGAATATTTCCTGCGATGTCCAGCACTGTGAACGAGGTCTGTTCATTGCAATGGTGGTCATTGGCGAAATTCACCATCTTCTCACTGATGTCACAGCCGAGCAGCTTGAAGTTAGTAGGAATGTACTTCTTCAGCATGCTGGTGACACCTCCATCTCCAGATCCAATGTCCAGAATGTTGCTGATATTCTTCTTCCACTTTAGTTTAGGGGAGATGTCGTCTAAAATGTTGAGTACATCCCTCTTCGGCATGCTGTTAGCTTGTTCGTACAAAGCCGGGTTATTCATGGTTAATTTTTTGAATGTTTTCAGTAAACTTAAAAATATTATTTGTGTTGTTTTCTCGGGTGCGCGTACGCGTGGTTGAGTGGAGCGCGGTTGCGGCGGACAGTCGCTACAGAAGCGAGGCAGTGCGCATTTATACGTGTCTCGATCGCGTCTCACCCAAAATATCCGTGGAAACAAGGGATTTAGTACCTACAGATCGTTTTATTTTTATTGACAACTATTTTACCATTATTTAAATGTAACGTTAAACGTTTAAATGCTTTAGCTGAGTAATTATGTTTCAATCTGTGCGGTTGCAATGCACGGTTGGCGCGCTGACTGGGAAACCGGCTGCCGCGCTACGTGTAGCGGGTTCGATTCCCGAACTGAGCAACTCTGTGTGTGATCCACAAAATGGTTTTTCGGGTTTAGGTGTCATGTGTATGTTGTATGTTTGTAACCGCACCAGGAGAAATTCCTAGAGTGGGGCAACGTTTTAATTTAATTTAATTTTACGTTATTAGGTATAAGTACCTAATAACTATTAGGTACCTACTAATAATTTACATTACATAAATATAAGTAAGCAATAGTTAATTTTGGTAAATTAAGCAATAAATAATAATAACAATCTGTCTTGTTCTGGTTTCAAGTTCTGGGGTTTCTGGTTTTAGTCCTATTTTACCAATAAAATAAATCATGTCAATAGTAGCTAAGGATTCTTAGACCCTAACATAAAGTCACCGTTTGAAAATAACGTTAATAGTCTTTTTTTTAAGGGGGGAAAATCATCGAATGACTTCTCCTGCCCGGGTCAGGGCGAGAGGGTCAGACTCTTACTGACTAAAAACCACCCCGTTCCTTCTGCACGTCGAGCCGGAGCCCCGGTTACCCGTTAGGTTCTCCGCGTTAGGTTAGGATCGATAACTCAAAAAGAAAATGACTTATGAATCTTTATTTTTTTACTTTTACTCCTACGGCATGTTGTTTTGCTGCGGGACGAAAACGAAATAAATTTCATTTTGTATAGATTTATTTTTTATTCAGTAAGAAATGTCACAATATTGTAATTTTTCAATGCACCTAGTTCCAATATAGAAATAAAATATATTGAAATACGTAATGTTGAGTAAGTCTCTATTAAGTTTCCGTACAATTAAATTTGGTGTTAATGATAATAGATACTAAGAAAAAACCAATATTATTATTACGATTGTGATGATAATTCCTGTTCTTTAAAGGTGATAAAAATAGTTCGCATATTACCTCTATGACGTAAATGGGTAAAAAATTTAAAGTTTTAATGTTTGCAAATAATTCAAATTACACCTTCGCCGTTAGCATGGATTTAGTTTGGGATCTACCTACTTGTTATCATAGACTTTTAATTTCAGTTTTTGACGCCATAGAATTGGGAGTTCTTTCTTAACTACATATATATTCAGCTGTTAAATGCCATAAATACTGAATAAATTAAGTTTTTTTTTTGAGGGGGGAATTTCATCCAATGACTTCTCCTGCCCGGGTCAGGGCGAGAGGGTCAGACTTTTACTGACTAAAAACCACCCCGTTCCTACTCCTGCACTTCGAGCCGGAGCCCTGGTAACCCGTTAGGTTCTCCGCGGCTCCGTATCGGCAACAGCCCATTGGGCCCCATCTGTGGTAGTCTGTTGGCTCCTTAAGGCGCGTGCGGAACGCGACGCACCGTACACTCGGGCCTGGTTCTGGTCGGGCGGCGAGTTACCCGTGCTTGCCGTCCACAGGCCCGTGATTACGGTGGCCGGAGGTCGTCTCGCGATCCTCGACGCCCGGAGTGTCTCTCACGACGGCTGGGGCGTGAGGACCCCCCCAGCTAGCTTCTGCTTCGCAGAAGGAGGAGACGGCATCCCAGTCCCCCTCGGTCCGTGAATAAATTAAACCTAGTTCCACAGAAAGCAGCCATATGAGGAAAAATACAAACGAAGTTATGGGCGTTTTTCTGTCAAATGATGTCCTTTAGTTATTTATGACATTTTTGTTTATTTGGTATTTGATAATTTTTACAAAAAGTAAGTAGCAGTTTTTTATGTCCTATCCAGTATTTCGTATCATTTAGCATAATATAAATATTAGCATTTTTGATTTTGATATGACTTTATTATGCAAAATAGCTTATTTCGTCGAAATCACAATCCTTACTAATATTATAAATCGGAAAGTGAGTTTGGTTTGTTTGTTCGGCTTTCTCGCCGTAACTACCCAACCGATTGCTTTGAAAGTTTGCACACGTAAAGTTAGAAGTCCCGTTACCTGGAAAAATTGATATTCCCGAGGGAAAACAAAAATATTGGTATAGATGGCGCTGTGTGTATTGGTATAGATAGCGCTGTATGTCATTTAAACCGTCGTGTGCCTAATGTGATGCAATGGGAGTGCAGTGCGATGCGCGCTCGAATACGGATGTGTTGTTGCAGTTGTACGTAAAGGTCGCAGCGTAAGTCGCTGCCCGATATTTCGCAATGAGTTTACAACAACTTATCGCAAACGAGCCATTGGCATTTATGCAAAATGCTATCGACACCATGGCCGAAATCAGCATCATGCAGATTTGTAGGTCGAGTTTCAAAGAAGACGACATCAGCAAAGGCAAGATCCTACTCCACCAGACGACTGGGAAGCTGGACCAAATGCCATCGAGGAGGAGAGATGGTACAGATAAGAGCGTCCAAGACATCATCACCTTTCTGAATGCGACCGACCCTGACGACGTGCCGATATTCGTGGCGAAGGAGCTACACAAGTTGCCGCCAGTCACATTGGACCACGTTGATGTAACCAGGCTGCTAAAGGATGTGATATCCTTGAAGTCAAGCCTGGCCCAGATGCAGAGCAAGTTGGAGACGTCTGACACTACCATCCAGGAACTGCGTGCCGAAATAGTGGTCTTACGCAATGCTGTTTCGGAAAGTAGGTTTCAAGGCGAAGCCAACGTGAACACACGTCGCAGGGCGCAAAACGCTTCAGTCAGCAGTTTTGCATCGTTCAAACTTAATTCATTGTTTATTGCAAATAATGACGTCGATGCACCGTGCCCCGACGCTCCCCGTGCCTCTCCACGTGCAGAGCACACGTCACGCGAAGTTATGTCGACCCCCAAAGTAGCTTACGCCGCAATTGCTGCCGCAAACAAAACAGCTGCGTCACAATCTAAGCAGCCAAGAGAGGGTAAGCAGAACCGTCGCTGTGAAGCCGTAATAAGGATTCCGATACAACGCTGTCCAGAAAAACCGGTGTGTGATGAGGAGGGCTTCATCAAAGTTCAAAAGAAGAAGCCTACTTCACGCAATCAACGCAGTACCGGACTGACCGGACCTAACATGCTGCGTCCAGCTGTGCCTACGACGCTGCTGTATGTGTCCCGATTACACCACTACACAAAGGTTGAGGAGATCGTGGAGTATGTGAAGGCGAAGACCAATTGGACCTTGAGAGTGGAGAGGTTGGAACCGCGTCACAATACCAACTTCAAGTCGTTTGTGGTGCGAGTTCGGACTCAATATCTTGACAAATTCCTGGAGGCAGAGTTTTGGCCAAGTTTTGTTGACGCCAAACAGCGTAACACGAGACCACGCACATCGTGTGTAAATTAATAACTTGTATAATTATGTATTTATAGTATTTTATGTTTCATATTATTGTATTAATATGGGCCTTCGTTGCCTGATGTAAACGAATAAATAAATAAATAAAAAAAAAATAAACGTGGATCCACACGAGGCACAATGCATTTTCTATTGTGTCTCATATACGGGCATTCAAGCGGTTAAAATAAGTCCACGAATTACCTACTAATTAGAAATCTTACGCTTTAATTTATAGCACTACTTACATTTATTCAGTGTACTTTTCGACTCATTTATTTCCTGTTTTTTATGTCAACGAATTACTAATTATTGGTATCTATATCATAGTTACGCTACCTAGCGTTAGATGGGACAGGGTCTTTTTAAAAACGTAGTAACGTTGTGCTGTTTATGTATTTTTCGCTTTTAAATTTTGGTTCCTACATTTCATATTAAATTGTGTATTTTATAGATTTTAGGTTGTTGAAAGTACACGAAATCATAGCGTCAAGTGCGTCAACAGTATTCAACAATTAGCTAATACATTGTACGCTGTTGTTTCAATGCTCGATAGATCGCGTTAGATTAATGGTCGTTACCGGCGAAAGTATAGGTTCCGAGCTTCCAAAACAGTTATATTTCTCGCACGCAGCGTGAGACGCCCGCCTGCCCGGTCTAGGCGTGTTGGTAGAGACTCCGCCCCCACCGGACACAACCGCGCGCCGCTAATAGCCCGCCGCTTGCCGGGCTCCCCCCAGCTCGAGCACGGCTCTTAGCGGTGGCCTGCACTGGACTTAACCATGCGCGCCAACAACTTGCTGCTCGCTGGGCTTGCCCGGCTAGAGCGCGGCTCGTGGCGGGGCAAATCACCAGACTCGATACCACATCGGGCCCCGCGAAGAGCCCGACTATTCCTATTCCAACCCCTCGGCTGCTGTAGCAGGCAGCGAATGAACCCGTCGAGACAGGCATCGGCCTGGACCGTGCGCGCCCCCAGCCGGGGACGTAGAGACGACCCGACGACGACAGTTATATCTTGGTGTAAGCACTGTGAATGATTTTAATTCGCTCGCTCATTATTAGGTTTGATTAGTCAAGTGTTTTCTTTTCTAGATAGATATTATAATGAAAAGCAGTTGTTGTTTTTTCGTCGTTTTAAGTCGCTTTGTTCATTGTTTAAGTTGATTGATACAGTAGCTGTATGTTAGTTAGGTGAAGTCTTTTAAATTGAAAAGGGAGGATGCTATTGTGGTAATACGAAAATAACTCCTTCTGTCTGTTGTTCTTGCACGCCTAAACGGCTGAACGGAATTTGAAGAAATTTGGTATGCAGGTAGTTTTAGTCCTGGAAAAGCAAGGCTTTACCGCGGCAGAATTTCTTATTCCCACGGAAAAATCTAAAAAGCGCGATGTACCTAACCAAATTGTACTCGAGCACAAAGCTATTTTTTGTTTGCCTGTCTTAAACGGCAAGACGGAGGTACTAATTAACGTGATTTTTAACTGATGGTAGTTGAA